AATGGCACCTAACAATAACAACCAAATCTTTTTGGAAGCCTGCTGCTACACCTTTCTCCCACAGAGCAGCTGGTGAGTTTGAACAACTGACCTTTTGGTTAGCAGCTGAACACTTTAAGGACTATGCCAGCAGGGTGTCTTTCTCATTTCAACTCTCTCACTACCATTGAGTGGCTTCTGACTCATAGCAACTCCCACTGAGTTTCCAAGGCTGTAAGTCTTTATGGAAGCAGACTGCCTCATCTTTCTTCTGCAGAAAGCTAGTAGGTTCAAACCACCCACCTTTTGGTTAGCAGCCAGATGCCCTCACCACACCACCAGAGCTCCTTGCTGACACAGCAAAGGCCCTACTGAAAACTGGAACACAGCCTTCTGAGTAATTTGTGCAGTTGCCCATTGAGTGTGTGCTAGAGCAAGAGTGTTCATATGTCTGAAACCTTTTCAGCAACTTTGAACTAACCTCATACACTGAAATCCTCATGTACTCTCCTTCCTGTCATTGAAGGCATCCTGATCCTGATGTAGCCAAGATCCTCACAACCTCTGTCAGACAAGGCCAGTCCTCTGTGGGCCTCTCTACTGACACTTTCTTTAGTGTAACCTGTATCTCCTTGCACTGCTCACAGTTGTTAAGTTTGGCAGTGGATACTGGGTATTCTCTGACTTCTGGTTGCTATGTTGCCAGTTACATTCAGGACAGTGAGGTCATTATGGAAGGCCTGCTTTCACAATGAGTAAAGAAATTGTTTTCTTCTTCATCAGAATCTGCCATACACTGAATGAAGATGTGTGAGGCACCAGCTCCTAGTTTATGGTTAGAACTGCCTAAGGATAGTAGGAACTTCTGAATGCCCCCTTATCACCAGAAAAAGGATTTCATTATAAAATTGTTGTTGTTGTTGTTACTACCATCAAGTTGGACCTGACTCATAGTGACCCCTCCTTGGGTTTCCAAGCCAGTACCACTACTGAAGTATATTGCCCCATCTTCCTTCCGAGGAGTGGCTGGTGGGTTTGAACCGCGAGCCTTCTGATTAGCAGTCAAGTGCCTTAGGCACTACACCACCAGAGTCCCCATTATAAAATTAGTAACCATTTATTGACTAATGATTATGTGCCAGATATTGGACGGTCATTTAACATGGATTATCTCATTTCATCCTCACATCAGCCTTATAAGTAGCTCTGGTAGCATAGTGCCTAAGGCACTTGACTGCTAACCAGAAGGCTGGCGGTTCAAACCCACCAGCCACTCCTCGGAAGGAAGATGGGGTAATCTACTTCCATAGTGATACTGCCTC